GTCCTGGCTGTTCCACTTCCAATCCAGCTCTCTGCTATTGCCTGGGAGAGCAGTGGAAGATGGTCCAAGCCCTTGGGCCCCTGCACTCACGTGGGAGACCTGGAAGAAGCTCTGGCTCCTGGCTCTCTCACTCTCTCTGTCTCTTCTTCTCTCTGACTCTACCTTTCAAATGAATAAATAAATAAATCTTTTAAAAAATAAATTTGTTTATGGGCAAATTTTGAGTTTGAGATCAACTAAAGCAGACTGAATCTAATGAAATTGCTAGCATCAGAAAGAAACACTATGGGGACATTTAAAAATGAGTCTATCATGGGGTGAGCTTGTGGTGCAGCAGGTTAGCACATTGCTTCGGATACCCACTTCCTGTGTTGGAATGCCTGGATACAGTAACAGCTACTGCACTTCCCATTCAACTTCCTGCTAACGTGTCTGGGAAGCAGCAGATGATGGCCTAAGTACTTGGGTTCCTGTTACCTACATAGGGAATTCACGTGGAGTTTCTAGCTCCTGTGGGCAATTGGAGCATGAATCAGCAAATGGAAGATCCATCTCTGTCAGTCTCTCTCTCCCCACCACCCATCCTTCTCTCCCTCTCTCCCTTCTCTCTGTCACTCTGCCTTTCAATAAAATGAATCTTTACAGAAAAGATTGGTATTTGAGGACCCCCTACCTCAAATGGAAGAAGAAAGGCCAGCAGGAGCTAGTTTGGTGTGTTCGCTAAGGATTTTAAATATCCTAAGGAGTATTTGTGCACAGCTTTTTTTTTTTTAATTTATTTATTTTTTTGACAGGCAGAGTGGACAGTGAGAGAGACAGAGAGAAAGGTCTTCCTTTGCCGTTGGTTCACCCTCCAATGGCCGCCACGGCCAGCACGCTGCAACCGGTGCACCACACTGATCCGATAGTAGGAGCCAGGTACTTAACCTGGTCTCCCATGGGTGCAGGGCCCAAGCACTTGGGCCATCCTCCACTGCACTCCCTGGCCACAGCAGAGAGCTGGCCTGGAAGAGGGGCAACCGGGACAGAATCCGGCGCCCCAACCGGGACTAGAACCCGGTGTGCCGGCGCCACAAGGCAGAGGATTAGCCTAGTGAGCCGCAGCGCCAGCCTGTGCACAGCTTTTAAAGGATATAGACTCTGGAGTCAGACAAGCGACATCCAAATCCCAGATCTGCTGCTTACCAGGTGTGTGACTTTGCAGAAATTTCTTTCTCTCTTTGAAGCCAGTTACTTCAAATGAAATATACGACACATACCTCATTTGGGGTGTTTGAGGATTTAGCAAGATGACATATAGCAAGCAGTCAACATAGGTTGGTTCTTATTGTCGATCATCCTACTTGATGTTGTTGCAGTTTATGTTCTGCAGAAGACTGTTAGATATTGCATGATAATTCTCTAACAAGGCTCTTAAAGCTGAGCAATTGTTGGGGTATCTGTGGCCCTCGAAGACGGACACTGGGAGAGGAGTCTAATCTTCCAAACATGTTTTTGCATATTCAAAGGCAATGAGGTGCCGGTGCTGTGGAATAGTGGGTAAAGCCAGCACCTGCTGTGCCGGCATCCCATATGGGCACCAGTTCTAGGCCAAGCTGCTCCACTCCTGATCCAGCTCTCTGCTATAGCCTGGGAAAACAGTGGAAGATGGCCCAAATCCTTGGGCCCCTGCACCCATGTGGGAGACCAGGAAAAAGCTCCTGGCTCCTGGCTCCTGGCTTCAGATTAGCGCAGCTCCAGCTGTTGCGGCCATTTAGATTAGAACCAGTGGATGGAAGACCTCTGTCTCTGTCTCTGCCTCTCTTTAACTCTGCTTTTCAAATAAATAAATAACTCTTTGAGAAAAAAAAAAGGCAAGGGTTTGAACATGAATGTGATTAATCTGACTGTGAATTTGTTTAATTAATAACTCATATTATCTTTATATAAAATATATTTTAAACAATAAAGGGGAAAAAAAGGTTATAGGCAACAAACCAAATGGATAACATATCTCTGGGTAAAGAATTTCTTGTGATCTTTTTGCTTTCTTCTCACATTTTCCATATTCCTCATTTTTGTCAACAGGACATCCTGAGGGACAGAAAATGAATGAATTTCAGGTCACCTAGCTTATCTCGACAGAAGTTTGATTTTTTTCCCTTCAGATGCTGTATTTGTTTCCATTACCCAGTGTTTTAAGACTGTTATCGCTACAGGAATGAATCCTCATAGTTTATGTATCAGACAGCAAAATTTCCCAATGATGACATTGCCATTTGGAAATCAAGACCTACTTAGAGTACTCCTGGGGAACGTCCCCTAACACGTTCACTGACTCATCCGGAAAGATCACTGAATATCTCCCTACTCGGAAAGTGTCTCTAACTTGGGAAGGTTGTGATATTCTTCGTGGTCCCCACACATGACCACATTCATATTTTGTTGACGCCTGACAGGAAGAAAACACATCTGATAGGCAATTTTAGAAAGGGAGATGAGACCGGCGCTGTGGCATAGCAGGTAAAGCCTCAGCCTGCAGTGCCGGCATCTCATATGGGCACTGGTTCAAGTTCCGGCTGCTCCACTTCCGATCCAGCTCTCTGCTATGGCCTGGGAAAGCAGTAGAAGATGGCCCAAGTCCTTGGGCTCCTACACCCACATGGGAGACCTGAAAGAAGCTCCTGGTTCCTGGCTTCGGATCGACGCAGCTCCAACCGTTGCGGCCATCTGGTGAATGAACCAGCAGATGGAAGACCTCTCTCTGTGTGCCTCTACCTTTCTCTATAACTCTTTCAAATAAATAAATCTTAAAAAAAAAAAAATGGAGAAATACTTTCATATTCGGGGCTAAAAATTAGCAATGGGTACTTTTAAAGACCTGGTAAAACCACCTACCAGATCTTTTCACAAAGCTATGGATCAAGTAAGAAATCTTTCCTGGCATCATCCCTTACTGGTGTGAATTAATCACATTCCTTTACATTTAATTTTTTAAAATAAGACATATTTGTTTACAACTCAGCTCCATTCATTTCATTAATTCTGGAAATATTGTCCCCATGAAAAGTAAGACTGAGTGGATCTAACTCCAAGATAAATGATGAGCAGAAAAGGGACTACAAAGGTAGAAATCTGATTTGAAGAGTTCATTTTCCTGTGATGGTGTGGCTCACAGGAATAACCAGAAATAAACTTTGGTGTCTGGGCTAACAGATTCTCTACATAAAGGATGACAGGGACCAGCACTGGAGCTATGCATGTCCTTCCATGTTCTGTCTTCCTGACGTAGGTCTTTCAGCCCAACACTCAAGGTGATTCTGAAAATTAAGATCAAACTCATTTGTTCTCCACTGCCTTTAAGATTTTGATCAACCAGGCAATTATAGGATCCACTTTTTACTCATAAGTGATAAAGATAATGACATGTTTAAAAAGTTAGAAATGTAAAATATCCTGTGCTTAACTTTGAATTGCAAATTCTAGCCATTATGTAAGCCTTTGACTAGTTGACTAGTCTTCCTGCAGAAGTAGCTAAATTGAAGATCGCACCAGCATCAAATGGATGAATAGCCCTTGATGATTTAGGACAAAGAAGGTTAACAAAAACTCATGTAGTTAGTGGAAGAAAAGGTTCCAAGGGAAGGATTGGTTTGTTATTGGACTAAGTGGCACATGTTAATGAAAGGACAGAAAATGGCAAAGTGGAGTCAACAGTCATAAAGCATAAAGTGCAGCATACAAAGAGAAGCACACTCAACTAGGATAAGCTGTTTGTCTAGAGAAAGCTGAGCAATGAAGCACAATGATACTACGATGTGACTATTAAAAGATCAATGAGATATCAGGTAAGTAGGAGCGTATGAGAAATCTCAAGACCCTTTCCCAAGTCACGTAGCTTTCTGCTCCTGTGTTGTTTCATGCTTGGTAAGGAGGGTAACCTGGAAGGCAATAAGACGAGGGAGCCCATAGATGATAGAGGATCTAGCAACATTTTGATCTGTGAATCCTTTGGAATTCAAATGCTTCTACAACAGAGTTAGCCACCTAAAATGAAACTTCACAAACCATGTAGGTGGGAAGCACTAAAGCTCAGCAGAAATATTTCTACTACAGTCTCTGCCTAGGTACAACAGGACAATATTCTTCCATTTGAAAAGTACAGAATACAAAGAACCGATTGACTTCAGCTGAAACTGTTAACCGATTACTTGGCTTTTCCAGCCTCACTGCCATGCTTTTTCTTCTTCCTCCATCTTGGTTGGCTTAACTACCATTGAAACCACAATGAAACAAAGGCATTAATCATTTAAATATAGTATTTCATTCATTCATTGGTTTATTACATTTCAGTGTGACTAGATGTCAAAGTACCCCCTCAACCAAATACTATATTTAATTTCTAACTATGGAATTAAAGGATTTCATTCTCCATTGAAGGGATTTCTGACAAAAAGCACACAGACACCAAATGGAGATGGAAGAATGCCCAACATAGTAGGAAGTATAAGCCTAACTCTTAAGGTGAAATGCCTTGTTTTTGTTAGGATGTAAATGGGAGAAGATTTAGAACAAAATGACCCACAGTGTCTTCTCTTTCCTCCTAGTGTGGACATCCAGGCACTTAACTAGATCTAGTTGGCCTGTTCCCAAATGTCACTCTAGATAAAAAGTGTGTGTATGGCTTGGTATCCTGGTTGAGACTACCCAGCACCCTCTGCAGAAGAACCCTCTCAATTCTGTCCCTTAGACCATCTGCTTCCTGGATTTTAGGAAAGGCCCAAAATCCAGAAACACATTCCATGTCTTCTAGCATAGTTGGTATATTTTCATTCAGATTAGATTGTATTTTTTTTACCCTGATCCTCCCCCTTTTTTAATACCTTATAATGATTCCAATGACATTTGTATTTTTTCCACTGCCATAATTAAAGCTCTCAGGTTTATAATTCTGTAATTCAAACACCCTCTTCTCAGACAGCATACGTTAAAACATATTCTCTATATTGTTAAGATGTGTTTATTGAAAGACAGAGTGACAGAGAATGACAGAGAGTGAGAAAGAGAGATCATCCATCTGCTGGTTCACTCTTCAAATGCCCGCTACAGCTGGGAATGGGCCAGACTGAAGCCAGAAGCCAGAAACTCCATCTGGGTCTCCACGTAGGTGGCAGGGGCCAAAGTCCTTGGGCCAGCAGCTGCTGCCTTCCAGGCATGTTGGGAGGAATTGGGATCTGAAAAAAGAGTAATTGGAACTCTAAGCAGGACCTTTGATATGAGATGCGACTTAACTCGCAGTGCCACACACCCATCCTATTATCCTCTATGTTATTACAGACATTCCCATTTTTAGCTCTACTAACTAAACATCCCTTGAGAAATTTTTTGTCCTTATTACTGTGGATGATACCAATAATTATGTCATCCATTTCTACCCTCAGGGAGCTGAAACAATGACTAAGTAAGCCTCAGTATGAACCAATTCAAACCTAAGAAGCTTTATATCACCACTCATCTCTTCTTTATCATTGAAACTTCAGCTGATTAATGATTGACAAGTTAACAGTTCTCAAACACAACTTAGAGCATGCCAGCACTTCAGGCCAAAAGCCCAGTACAAAAAAAAAAAAAGTACCATTCTAAGAAGAGTTGGGAAAACCAGCCAAGTCAAACCAGAAAATATATCAAATACATGCTTTGAATAACATATATTCAGTAATATTCAGTAATTTATTCTGGAACTTTGTAACCCAAATCTTCTAAATAACTCACTTTATGTTATTTAGAACATAAATAACATATTGCACTAATTTTCAAAAGTCTAGGGGAGATTTGGGGCTTGCTTTTTTGTTTTAAAGAGAAAAATATAGGAATAGAGGGAATCAGTATTTTAAAATAATACTGGGAATTGTTCTTGGGATAAATATTGTCAGTAAGGCAAGTGTTATTGGTAAGGAATTAAGACAAAGTCCAATGACTTGTATGCTTTTAGTGACTGAGCAGTTCCTACAGACATTAAATCACTCTTGAGAATACTCAAGGCCCTTATGATGTAGTCCAGACATGGACCATCAGGTATAAAATGTCTTTTAAGCTGCAAGTCTTGGATAAATTATAAAAAAGCAATAACAAAAATTGTAATATACTGATAGGCACCTCCAAAAATGCATCTTATGTGTTCTGTTGCCTTGAGAACACTGCACTTAAGCTGTTTTAGAGAGTTGGACTTCTGCGTTGCTCGTAAGTCTTCTAAGGCAGCTATGTTCTCTCCACCAAATCAGCAATATATGCAAGTAATTATCACCAGTTACTCCTAATGGTTAGCTTTGTAACTAACTTTAATTCTCCCTTCTGTTATCTAGGCAAACTTCTTTACTTGTCTTCAATAGAAATGATGAGTTTTTGTTCAAAATCCTCTCTATTGCAACATGTGGTGAGTTCAGTGCAGCTAACTGACTTCTCAATAGTCTTTTCTTTTGATGTAAACAACTCTCATCCATTCCACTTTTAGTTAATAATCCAGTTTACCAACATTTAGCCCATTGCTGACTCACTTCTCTAACATTTCTTTTTCCATCTTTGGCTTACTTTAAAATTGAGGAGTCCTTTGGGAGATGGCTGTGATGGCTCAACTAATTGGGTTCTTGCCAGCCATGGGGGTGACCCAGATTATAGTCTCAGCTCCTGACTTCAACTATGGTCCAGCCACAATTGTAGCAGACATTTGTGGAGTGAACCAGCAGATGACAGCTCTTTCTCTCTACCTCTCAAATGAATTTTTTAAATATATGATTTTAAATTCATAAATTGAAGAGTCCAGAGTATAACAGCTTCAGGGAAAAAAATGATCACAACTTTAGTTTTGATATATACCAATATTCTATGGGCAAATTCTTGGGGTCACATTGAAAGTTGACAATGAACATTTAGCGAAGATGTTACATTGGCCCACAAAGTCTAACATTCTCAGAATCAGGGGTTTAAATAAACCCTGTCATTTCTGGTGTCCACAATATTCAAAATATTTAAGGGAACATAGAAGTCAAGATAAGTGTGTACCCTCAGAGAATATATAACCTGTCAAAAAAGGATTGGAAAATCACAAATTCCAGACAGAATAAGTGATAGGGAAAGGAACTGGCCAAAGACTCAGATTCAGAGAATAATGCATAATTTTATATAGAGAGGGCAGAAGGAGAAGGGCAGCACCATGTCTGAGACATCAGTGAACAGGGCTCAGTTCCCTACAGCGTGCCGGGGCAGCCTGGGACAGGACAGCTCCCATTTCTGGACATGTGGACTGGGGTGGAGCAGCTGCTGGGGAATAGAGCCAGCATCAGGTGCTGAAAGAATGTCTGGTCCAACAGGCAGAACATGATGCATCGAGAGAACTGGAAATAACAACAGATGTAAATCCAGGCACAGAAGCAGGGGAAAGAGGTAGCATATTAAGAGAGTGGACAGAGAGAAAAGGATGAAATGCACAGTTGAAGGGAAAGTAGAACACAACAGAGACCAAGAAAAGGAAAAAAGGAGAGATGACACTTGGAGGTGACGATTGGAAAATCCTTGAAATCGGGAGCAGGGGTGCAAGGCCATTGGCAGGACAGGTACAATGTCGAGGATCAAAAGTCACTACAAAAATGAACATTTCAGGCTGGCACCATGGCTCACTTGGCTAATCCTCCGCCTGCGGTGCCAGCACCCCAGGTTCTAGTCCCAGTTGCTCCTCTTCCAGTCCAGCTCTCTGCTGTGGCCCGGGAGGGCAGTGGAGGATGGCCCAAGTGCTTGGGCCCTGCACCTGCATGGGAGACCAGGAGGAAGCACCTGGCTCCTGGCTTCGGATTGGCACAGCGCCAGCCATGACGGCCATTAAGGGAGTGAACCAATGGAAGGAAGACCTTTCTCTCTGTCTCTCTCTCACTGTCTATAAGTCTACCTGTCAAATAAAAAAAAAGAGCATTTCTTGTAATGTAAGTCAACCACGGGCACAATCACATGGATTAACACACTTACCTTCACAACCCTGTGATTACTAAGGTGCTATTCTTGCCATTTCAAGGTTTAGAAAACAGATTCAGAGAGGTTCCATGTCACTCCCCAGGTGAAGCTGATGGTAAGTGGCAGAACAGGCTTCAAACCCAGCAATCTGGTTTCAAAGTCAAGCTTTTGGCCACCAGGCTGTGTGAGCTGGCTGGGGCTTGAAGACTGCTTGGCTATTCATGGAATATTTTCAAGGGAAACATTTTCCTGAGAGCAGACGCCTCCTCTGAAATCCTGCTGTCTCTCCGCAGGAAACAATCAGGTAGGTTTGCCCTTGTTACGCAGTCTTGAAAGGCACATCACAGCCCCAGGAACACATTTGGTTTCCAGTATTTCAGGCATATAGGAATGATGGAAACTCAAGAAAGGGAAAGGGCTGGGAGAAACATCATCTTGCTTTCAATATTTCCTCTATGAATGAGATATTTTGTCTGCAGAAAAACAGAAAGAAGACAATGAAAAATCACAACAATATGTGATACTGAAAAGCCAGTTTCTCTAAGCCAAGCTACAATGAAAATAAAGCAGCAAGTTAGTCCAAGGAAAGAAAAGGCAGCTCAGAGCCATTAGAATCTAGTCACCCACTCAAGTAACAAACAGCTTTCACCATTAAGAAATGTTCCTCCTCCAGCAAGGGGGAAAGTGTTCAAAACCAGAAAGTTAAAGAAAGGAAAAACATCCCAGCTGGCTTTTTAGAAAGGAGGTGGAGGGGGCAATGGAGGTGGAGGCAGGTAAGGCCTTCAACTAAGCCAGGCTAAAGAAAGACAGTCAGGCACTAATTCAAGGGAAATGAGACCAAGAGAAAGATATTGAACAGGTTGCCAAATGTCAGATCCACTACACCTATCACCAGTTTACTATGGGTATGCCACAATATAGGTTCAAATGTGTTAATACAAATTTCAGTTTTAACATGTTCGGTAAGCCGGCGCCGCTGCTCACTTGGCTAATCCTCCACCTGCAGCACCAGCACCCCGGGTTCTAGTTCCTGTTGGGGCGCCGGTTCTGTCTCAGTTGCTCCTCTTCCAGTCCAGCTCTCTGCTGTGGCCCAGGAGGGCAGTGGAGGACGGCCCAAGTGCTTGGGCCCTGCACCCCCATGGGAGACCAGGAGAAGTACCTGGCTCCTGCCTTCGAATCAGCATAGCGCACCGGCCATGGCAGCCATTTGGGGGGTGAACCAATGGAAGGAAGACCTTTCTCTGTCTCTGTCTCTCTCTCTCTCTGTCTAACTCTGCCTGTCAAAAAAGATAATAACATATTGGGCAAAAAAAATAACAATCCTCTCCTCACCATACACATCTGCTTTTTTTTTTTTCATTTTCTTGGTGTTTTTTTTTTTTTTCATCCTCACTTTTATGCTGGTGAGAGTTTTCCTTTTTATGAAGATTTTGGGATTGAAATATGGGGAATGACTTTCCCATTTTCTCAGCTGCTTTCCTTTTCATAAAATTTGTTTTTCTTGGTCGAAATGTACTGAGAACTGAAATGTAATTAAAAAAAAAAATCTAGAGATCTGAACCTCTAACCGAATTTTGAAAATAAATAGGACTGTGTGCCAACTGGGCCAACACAATTTCAGCCATTTTCAGGATCAATGCGTATCAATATATATCAATTCTACAATGGCAATCAGTAGTGATCACCAAGGCAGATAAGTGGTCATGCTGGCTGTGTGACAATCTGCTGTGGAAGTAAAAGATACTAACAGGATATTGCCCAAACAATCATAAATTGCAGGGCAGGCATTGTAGTTCAGTGAGTTTAGCAGCCACTTGGGGGGCCCCCATATCTCATATTAGAGTGCCTGGGCTTGAGTGCCACCTCTACTTCCAATCCAGCTTCTTGCTGATGTCCGTGGGAGGCAACACATAGTAGCTCAAGTATTTAGGTCTCTTAAGCTTGTGATTATAAAGTAAATTGAGAGGCTGGTGCTGTGGATTAGTGGGTAAAGCTGCCACCTGCAGTGCCGGCATCCCATACGGGTGCCTGTTTGAGTCCCGGCTGCTCCACTTCTGATCCAGCTCTCTGCTGTGGCCTGGGAAAGCAGTAGAAGATGGCCCAAGTCCTTGCGCCCCTGCACCCACATGGGAGACCTGGAAGAAGCTTCTGGTTCCTGGCTTCAGATTGGCCCAGCTCCAGCCATTGAGGCCATTTGGAAGAACTTTCTTTCTCTCTGTCTCTCTCTTTCATTGTCTATAACTCTACCTCTCAAATAAATAAAAAATATTTTTAAAAAAGTAAATGGAAAGTAGGTCATTTTAAAAATTAAAAAAAGAAAAAAGAAAGGAGGAAGGAGGGTGGGAGTGAGGGAAGGTAGACTGGGAAGTATCATTCTGCTCTCAAAACTGCAAATATAAAATACATTAAGTTTGTTTATTTTATACAAATAAAAAAATTAAGTACTTGGGTCCCAGGCACCCACAGAAAGAACCATATGGAGTTCCTGGTTCCAGGCTTCAGTTTGGCCCAGCCTCAACTATTGTGGGTACTGGGGAGTGAACCAGAGGATGCGAGTTTTCTCTCTTTTCCTCTCTCTCTCCCTCTCTCTCTATATATATACATATATACATATATAAAGATAAATATATATGCCTTTCAAGTAGATGAAACAGTAATTGACAGAGTTATAATTTAGAAATATGGAACATGAGAATAAATAGTTTGTAAAAAATAGAAAATATCATATTTAATCAGGCTAAGGATCCGCCCAACATAGGATCTAGCATTCTAAAATATGTCAGAGGGGATGCTGGTTCCCTTCAAACTCCACCTGTAACTGGATCACATTACCATCCTCATTCTCCTCCTAATTATTAAGACCCAAGCTGCCCCAGGCTTGGGGCAGGTGTTCAGCCTAGCAGTCAGTACACAGGATGAGATGCCCCACTCCCTGTATTGCAGTACTTGGGTTTCATACCCAACTCCAGCTCCCGAGTCCAGCTCTCTGGGAGGTGGCAGTGGCTTGAGTGATTTGATCCTTGAAACCCATGGAGGAGACCTGAATTGAGTTTCAATTGCTGGCCTCAGCTAATCCCAGCCCCACCCTGGCCACTGTGAGCATTTGGAAAATAAACTAGCTGATGAAAGCATTCTCTCTCTTTCTCTCTCTCTCTCTCTGTCTCTCGCTTTCTCCCCTAGCCGTGTGTGTGTGTGTGTGTGTGTGTCTGCTTCTCAAATAATTAGATAATTTTTAAGTGGGCGGAGTGGGGGAGAGGCTTTTGTTACCACAGTTAAGAAGCTGTTGGGATGCCCACATCCCATATTGCAGAGTTGAATTTTAGTCTCAGCTGCACTTCCAAGTATAGCCTGGGAGATAATGTGTGATGGTTCAACTATATAGGGCCTTGCCAACCACATGGGAGACCCAGATAGAGCTCCAGGCTCCTAGCTTTGGTCTAACCCAATCCCAGCTATTACATGCACATGGGAAATGAACCAACAGATGGAAGACGTCTCTCAACCTCTTTCTCTCTCTCTCTCTCTCTCTCTCTCGCTTGCTCTCTCTCTCTTTCTCTGTGTGTGTGTGTGTGTGTGTGTGTAGCTTTAGAAGAAATAAAAATAATTGCATAAAATTTAAAAAAGAAGACCTGGGCTTGCTCCCAAACCTTGGCCCTACTTTCCCTCACATACCTGGACAACAGATTATTAAAAACAGCCCTTCAGAATCCACCCAATTTTGGTTCCAGGACCCCCTGTGTATACCAAAGTCTGTGGATGCTCAAGTCCTTTATATTTGGTGATGTTATATTTGCAGGTGACCGATCCACATCTTCCGGTGTACTTTAATTCATCTCGAGATCATTTGCAATAACTAATACAATGTAAGTACTCTAAATAGGTGTCATGGTGCATTGTCTAGTAAGCAATAAGATGTTCTGTACAGACCCAGCCATCACAGGCGACACAGCACACAGAGGAGACTGAACACTTCTCAGACAATGAGAGCTGGAGAGAGACGGTGTAAGAAATGTCAGAAGCAAACATTTGCACCTCACTCTTCCTGCATGTATTTGGAATGGTCTTGGTACGCAGTAAACTCAAGTTTTGCTACTTTGGAACTTTCTGGAATTGTTTTTGTCCACATATTTTTAATTGATAATTCATTGACTCCATGGATGCAGAACCCAGGAATATGAAGCTGACTGTACCCCGCCCCCAACTCTAGCCAGAACATTTCCACATCAAGGAACTGACTGCTTTGGTTGGAAATAGAGCTGTTACCCCTTAACAGAGGTATTCTGGGTACACGTGCTGGACACAGGAAATTAAAGCTATGCTTTATCTCAAGTCTTGAATGGATAACAGTTTTAAGTTTCCTAATGTATTCTCAGCCTCCATGCTCCCACTGCCCCCGTGTGCCATCAGCCCATCCATCTGCCACACTGACCTTCAGATTCTAAGTCAGATCATCTCACTTCCCTGCACAAGTCTGGGGCAGAGCTCACAGATGATCATTAGCCCTCTCCAGCCTGTGTCCCGGTTGGGGCTTCGCATTCCTCCTCACGTACCACTGCAGAAACACTTCTCCTGACTCTGGCATCTTTAAACTCCAACTCATCAACCACCTTTTCTACGAAGCCTGAAAGCACCCTCCAGACAGAAAAGATTTTAAAGGCTCCTGTCCATTCTGCTAAGACTTCATCCATTCATTTATCCACAGAGTCAACAATGATTAACTGGACACCTACCATGGGACCTGCAGTGTTCTCATCGTGGATCTTCCATTTGAATGAAAGGAAATCAGCAATAAATAAATACATGCCAAGATAGACCAGCGCACGGCAAAAGTTTGTGGGGGAAATGGAATTAAAAAGTAAGTTTATTTTGGTGTGAAAAACTTAGAAATTGATCTATTTTTTCATAATAAGCATTTTCTGAGAACTTTCTGAAGATCTCTTATGTATATCAGAGGGCATTAACACAATGGAGAACTGGTAGATGTCTAAAAGAGATAAGCACTGCCCAGGGGTAGAATGGGGTCAGTGTGCCTTAAATTGGCCATGACCTGGGGAGGCTACATTAAGAGGTGAGACTGAGCAGAGACTTGCAGGAAGCAATGGGGTGAATCATGCAAGATTTCTGATAAAGAACAGTCAAGGCAGAGGAAACACTAGGGGTAAAGGCACATCTCTCTCTTGAGGTGAGAACTGAACTTGAGATGTTCAAATACCCTCTAGGAGGAGTGCAGTGAGAGTACAAGGAGGAAATTAGCAAGAGGTGAGGGTAGGGAGGAAACGTGGGTGGGGGTGAGGGAACTGCAGATAAGACAAGGCACTGCAGAATAGACCAAGGACTTGGGATTTTTTAATATTTATTTATTTATTTATTTGACAATGAGATGAGAAGCCTTTGGAGTGGCTTTGAACAGAAAAGCGATGTGGTCAGATTTATCTGTGAGAGGCAAATGTTTCAGGGAAGAGAAGCAACTGTC